TGACACAGCCTTAACAAACCTTCAAAATTTCCAGGCCGCAAGGCACTTATGTTTTGTGACACAGCCTTAACAAACCTTCAAAATTTCCAGGCCGCAAGGCACTTATGTTTTGTGACACAGCCTTAACAAACCTTCAAAATTTCCAGGCCGCAAGGCACTTATGTTTTGTGACACAACCTTTACAAACCTCAAAACTTCCAGGCCACAAGGCACTTTTGTTCGCACCCAGGACAATCAAACGTTGTTTGGCGGGTGACCCAGTAAAGTTGATAACCAAACAGCTTCAAAAATCACATCAAACTATCGAATAAGTACATCACTACTCATAATAAGGCGTTTTATGATTGTGTAAGAAATTAGTCATTTTTTTATTTCGTTGTTTTAAATTTCATAGGTGCAACCTGTTCAGTAGGAACTTTTAACAAGAGGCAATTCTCTTCTCCGGTTTTGAATAAGACCCTACAAGGCTCAACAATATCTTCTCTCACGGTGAAAGATGAAAAAGATTGTGAGAAATCCTGTCATATGGAAATGCGAGACAACTGTTTCAAGTTCAACTACTGCCATGATAGCAAGCTATGTCAATTGATGTACAAAGGACAAGCTGGGCAATACAAGGTTGTTGACTCGCGGGGGTGTTACTATAGGACACGTGAGGTGAGTACTGAAAAGATTACATGATTCCGCAGTGGTGGGTGTAAACTAGAAGTATTAAGTAAACTGTCTATCTTTGTCTATCCTCTATAACTTTTAAGTTTATAACTTTATAACTTTTATGTTTTGAGTGCTTAAAAGCACTCAGTATACCCCTACCCTCGGGGCATTGGWCGGTGACATTCTGCCACCGTGGACCACGGTATTAATTAACCTTGCGGTACTGCAGAAATTGACTTTTATCCCTTTTTTATTCTATGTTATATTTTGTTAGTGTGAGCCTACGAGCTCTGCTTCGTGCTTAAACAGCATTAAATGCTTCATGATTGCTGACAGGAAAGACGCGTGCTCTTGTCCTCCCCCATTGAACATCACATCGTGCTCACGTGAGTATAGAAAGTAAATAAGGACCATAATTATACGATGCTGAACAGACCAATCTGTTTGATTTCCAGTAATCCGTAATCTATTCCGAAATGCTGATTTTTGCGAATTTCCGCGAATATTCGTACAAGATTTCATACCGTAGATGACATTATAATTACATTAATTCGAATGATGGTGAGCTTAGACTTGTTTAGATAACGGAAGAGCGAACTTTAAATAAGAAGCAATGCCTTTCCGAAAATTCTAAATTTGACAAAGAAACGTATATGTAAACTTTGAAAAATCCCGACAGCGTCCGGCACCCTAAAAAAATTATCCCYTT